GAACTGTAAATTTGACAAAAATTAATGATTAAGATAATGGTAAAAATAAACCAGTCCAATTGCAAATTTGTTAGGATGTACTGTATTTCCTAAAATAAGCATTTATCTAAAATTTTGGCTAAATGGGGTTGTGCTTATTGGAAGGAGGCTGCTTAATCAAGAGGGTGCTTACTATTCTCCTGAACTGATTCAGCTGCAGTTGAAGCTGTCAAAGTTATAAATAAAGTAGCAATAGAAACAGGTTTTTCTGTGTATCCCTTCTAGTAACAAAAATGGAGGAGAGGGGCACATATTTGAGTGGGATGCTTGTTTGATATTCTGGCCTTGGGGGTGGGTGTTTATTTGGGGGAGGGAACTTGTATGAGGAAATACTGCATGTCAGAACTAGACCAATTGGTTAAGGTTAAAGTTAAGGTTAAGGTTTCAAACTAAAGTAAAGTAATAAAACATCAGCCACATGTCACCAGCCCATTCTAAATAGAAATTAATTGCCATTAGTTAAATTTAAGTCATTAACCCTTTATGTCCCAAGAGTGAGCAATGAGCAACTTCTCCTTATGACAAAACATTGTAAAAACAACAGGTCATAAATGAAAGAAAAATATCAACTTGGAGTATAAATGAGTTTAATTTATAACCAAATTTTTAAATATTTTTAAACACAAATGAATGACAGACTCTTGGGAAAATTAATTAAATAGAATTGAATTCTTGGGTATTACATTTCTTTAAAGAAACTGTTAAGTTGTGTTGAGGGAGAATCAAACAAAATGGTCTCGGAAAAAAATTAACTCACAGGCTGTGCTTGTACAACTTGTTTTGTTTCAGGTCTTGCTCTCAATGCTCTTCTTTCTTCCTGATCATCCTATGATTTGTGCAAAAACATTTATAATCAAACCTATCTCATTACAAGATATCTTTAAAAAAAAAAAAAGAAAACTTGAAAATCCACAGTCTTGGCACAATATACATAAAACAGCTTCAAAAATTCCTTAATGTACTTGTATTTACAAACAGACATAATCAAAAAGCTATTTAAAAGATTGGAGCAAAAAGGTCTCAAAAGCATAACGAATCTTTTTTTTTTCTGAAACATCTCATCTCCAGAATCTTACATCATTGAATCTGATTGGCTAATTGGGCACCCATAACTGGTCCAGCTTTTCACAATGCAGACCAAGATATGAAATATTTTCTGTGTCATTTGCAACAAAGCAGAGGAAACAATAACAATAAATAAATAACCTATCAACCAGTCTAAGTTGGTCTGTCTGGGAAAAAAACTGTGGTCTTGAGTACAACCCTTGCCCTTTTGGCTACAGTCAAGACCTCAGGCACAGTTTTTTTTCCTCATATGAAACTCCCACCTAGTAAATAACATATATGTATTTACCCCTTCCAATAAGAAACTTGGGAAGTTTGGAGCTATATTTCTGGACTCTGGATTCAGAAATTCATATCAATATGTGGTGTTTTTTTGGCATGACAATTTCACTCTTGCAAAGCATTTGTCATCAATCCAGGGGGTATAACAGGTTTCAATAACTTCTTCCATAAGTGGCTGCTGCTAGCAAAACTCAAACACAAATGCCTGCATACAGGCTAAACAGACAGCAGCAAAAACTTCTTACAGGAGGTGGTAGAATACTGGCAACCAGCTTTTACTAAAAACTCCTGAGATATAGCTTACTACCTGTAGCAGCAAAACGTTTTACTGGAGGTGGTAGAATGCTGGTAACCAGCTTTCATTGAAACCCCTTTGATATAGCTGACTACCTATAGCAGCATAAAGTCTTACAGGAGGTGGTAAAATGCTGGCAACCGGCATTTATTGAAACCCCTGGGATATAGCTGACTACCTGTAGCAGCAAAAAGTTTTGCAAGAGGTGGTAGAATGTTGGCAACCAGCATTTATTGAAACCTTTGGGATATAACTGACTACCTTTAGAGTGTCTAGGAACCTTACCAAATGCATAAAAAGGGTGGGAACAACCTGTGTGAGGCAGCAGTACTTGTAGTTGACTTATGTTGGGGAAAGTGGGATAAGATTTGACAGAGTGGAATATCATCTGTGTTCATAGAAAAGACAACCTCTCCTCACATTGCCTCTCTCAACTCAGGAGTATAAATTGATACTAACAAACTTCAAGGAGAACTGACAACATGCTAAAGGGAGATCTCCAGTGGATCAACTTCATGTTTGGATGAAGTACCAGCAATTATCCCAGTTATTACAAACTATAGACATTAGGGTACATTGCTACAGATATGGGGCAATTCTAGGGATCTCATGACGAAGCCAACACCTTAATACAACACTAGATGAGTAATGAAATAGTACAATAACATTAAAGGCTTAACTTGTCTTAAAGAGATAATAATTTATTTATTTTTTCACCTCAGTCTCCTCTGTAACAAATTCATTGCAATTTTTTGGAGCATTGTGACAGTTGTCAAGTGCATCATCATCCATCAGTTCAGGTGGATCAAAATTATCATCAGGGTCTAAAAGAAAGGAAGTACCTAATTCTTCAAACCTAGAAAGTAAATTACTCTTTACATACTGAATTGTGTAACAGGAATCATGATTTGTGGGAATGGACAGTCCCTTGCTCATGAGTTCTCATGGTATCAGCTGGTACACAGGACCACTGAACAAGGTGTTGCACTTGATGAATCATAATTTGATGGAATTACACATTAACAATGGAATGTAACTACTGGCAATGGTAGTTACTATCAAGTAAGTCCTTGTTTAAATCTATGAGCTTAGCTTGGCTAGAACTCTGAAAGTTTTCAGGGTAGTGAATGCAAAATCCCTTTGAGGAAATGTTGACACATATTGTCCTCCTATAATGACCTACAAATTTTAGTATGTTCAAACCATTTACAGCACAAATTTTGTAATTGCATTCACTGACTTTTGATTGGCTTAAATTCCAAGATATGATGAAAAAATAAATTTCAGGAATGAATTGAAAAGAGACTTGGCCAGATAAAAACTTGAAGAAAGGGAACTTTACTAACCGGGAAGTTCTAAATCTTCATAACTTTCAGCTGCATCCAGGCCATGGTTGGCAGATTGCTCATGGGTTCTAGGTTCAAGACCTGGACAGAGAAAAATAAATGTTCCTTTGTTTACTATTAATTAGCAGGTAAACTTGATTTATTTCCCACAAACCTGACATGACTGATGGAGTTGCAGGCTTCAGTCCTCTGAAGGAGTCATCTATTAGTGAAAGGTGTGTCCAGTCTAAAAGCAGGGTGCCAGTTGGACCATGGACAATGCATGTGTTCATCTGTCGACAAAATGATTTAAATTCTTAATAATGACACTGCTGAATAAGGTAATGGTTAGTGAGTTGCATAGGCTGGGGGCTTCAAGCACTTATCAATTAATTCAACTGCTGAGATCATATATGCAGTTTTGGTTAATAACCTTAAATAACCTTTAACTCCCAAGATCTGATTGTTACTTCTCCTCTCTAGCTGCTACACATTTCCTTGTAAATTAGTAGTACAAGAATTTGGTGTTAGATCAAGATAACAAGTTCTACCTGATAAGTTTGAGTATTCCTCATTACCTGTTTGCTGGATAATGTATGGATATTGAAGGGAGAAATAACATGTTAATCACTTTGGAGAGTTAAAGGGTTAATAAGTCATGAAGGCTGTCGCTTTAATTGCTTATTAAAATAATTCAATAAGTGATAGTGTACAGTGTCAATCTCAATATTTGTTGATTATGGTTTTATATGACCCTGGAAAGTCTGTGGCCAGTCCAAGGGATTTCTCAGAATTTCTTTTGATGATAATCATGGTCTAAAAATTAAAATTTATAGGAATGATTTGAAAATTTAAAACTTTTTATACCTTAAAATCATTCTTTCTTCCAATAGCTTCACCAGTGCGACTAAAGAAAAGAAAAGAAAAGAAAAATTGTCAGTTTCTTTTGATACATCACAATTCAAAGCACACAAACTCACATGTTAACTAAATATTAGATTTTAATCACTTCTGAGGATTAATGATGGCACAAGTTTGATTTAAATCACAAGTATAATTTCAGATCAAAATTGCTTGACACAAAGTTAAATAACCACTTTATTACACCCATTTTGAAATTGCAAAATTCAGGTGTGCAACTACAGGATCTTTTAATCTGTACAAATATTTTATTGAACCATTCCCACACCTGGTTTGTAAAAAGTTGCACAAACTTGCTTTTCATTTTCCTGTAATTTGATTGCTTACTTTAAAATTATCTATCTAATTGATTGTTTATTGTTTATCTGATTGGTTGTTGTGTTTTAGTACATATTGATTTGGAAAAAGGTGCAATTTAGAGCAAAACAAGGTGCAATTTGTAAATGAATGGCACTGATGAGAGCCAATCAGATTTTAAGGCTCACCAGTGATTTCAAAATGGATATAACCACTACACATGTACCTTAGAAGCACATCTCCTCTTTCTTCCTCTGGGAGAGGTATTAAGGCTAAAGGAATCCTAGGCACAATCAGTGAACTCTAAAAAAAAATAGGTATTTAATCATTAACAGGTGATCTCTAAATACTGCTCTTCAGTAGTAGTTCAGATAGGGCCCTCAACTACTATAATTTTTTAATTAGAGATAACAAACTCAGAATTGATTTGTCTTAAAAAAAAAAAAATTAGGATAAAATTTGCTACAGGAAAGAGGAAGCCCCTAAATGCTACCCATGCTCCTGGCATGTGGCTTCGTGGCTTGGTAGGTAGAATCACCCAATTAGTATCTGGGAGGCCTGGGTTCCAATCCTCTAAAAGCTTGAATTTTTTCAGAATTCTATTCTGTAATTGCAGTTTTCCTGTGAGGATCACTGCTTTACTTGATTTTCATCCACAGGTAAAATGAAACTTATTACACTAAAAACTAAGAACTTAGATGAGGGACTAATCAATCCACACAATCAAATTACAAAAAGTTCATTACTGATCATCTATGGTTCAAAATACAATTAATTGACATACAGGGATTTAAAAACAAGCCAGTGGCCACTGGACTAATCTGTCCTCTAATTAATAACATGTTGCGGGTTACTGTGGTCAAAATAATTGCCTTTTGGCCTTTTATGAACTTTTCACAGTCACATGGTTTTGCAGAGTCTGATGCCTACTTCAAAACATTTTGAAACCCCCTGCACATATTACTGTATTTGTGAAAATTGGAACAAATGTTGCAATCTGGTAATACTTGAAGAGACATTTGTAAGTACCTTTCTTTCAGCATTGTCATCTTCATCTTCCTTCAAATCAATATTCTTTGATACTTTTATGTCGTCCCAAGAGCGATACTGCAACAAAATAAGAATCATGGAATAAGAAAGATAAGTTTTGAGCTTGGTAAAGAAATAGCAAAAGATGTTGACATTGCTGATCCTAGCAGTATACAGGATGAGTGTCATGTATGAACTTCTTAATGAGCATCACAGCACAGAATCTGAAGGTCCAAGGTGCAACTCGTCATGGGAACTCAGAATTTTTTCTATCTCACACTTGTGACGAAACAATAAAATGTCTGTCTCTAAAAGAGGATCAAGTTTTAAGATTTACCTAAGTAAGGGAAAGGGAGAAAAACTTAAATGAACACCATTTACCTCTTTAGTATGCCCCTTGGCACCCTTCTTCCCTTGTTCAACTGAATCATCTGTTGATGCCTGTTGTAGACGTCTTGAAGAGAACAGAAGGATACAGGTGCGTTAGGTCAGGTTGGGAAATGGTATTATCTATGAGATCTAGTCAATTCTTTGGACAGAAGGTCAATTGACAAATCACTGAACCATAACAGACATGTACGACAACAAACTTTTGAGGCTTTGCCTACATATTACCAATTTATTGGTTGACACACTGCCAGCGAATCTGCCCACACATAACCAAAAACATTTGCTAACACAAACACTAAATAGGACTGTTTGCAATTTTACAAGTGATCTGCTTATCATACAAAAAAACAAACAAACAAACAAAAAACATTACAAAAATAAGTCAAGTCAGTCCATCCTTTGTATGCATTTGAGCAAATAAAGCCATGACCACTGCTGCCTATCCTTCACTTTCTTTCTCAACTCGCCAAAACTAACTCCAAACTCCCTTCTATCTTCTTCAAACATCCATCACCAGGTCTTGCACAATTAAGGGGCTACATTCAAAGCATCTTCGGCTATGCATATGTCATAGTCACAGGTATGAAAATAAACATTTTATTGACAGCTGTGTCACCCTGGTAAGGGAAAACATAGGCTCTTGATGTCATCATCAGAACTAATGACTTACTTTTTACTTGCTATTAGATCCAACGTTTGATAGACCAGTGAGTACAAATATTCCACCTACAACAGAGATATGAGGCTTTAGAAAAATATTAAAAGATATTAGGATATTAAAAATACTAGGATATGAGGCATCAGAAAAAGATGTCCTTTTACCCGTCATGTAAATCAGTATAGACCCACGGGATGGATCATAGGTTAAAAGTCAAAGTGGCATGGAATCAAGGGAGAGGATTGCTTTGATACGCGGTTATGTTACGGTACATGTACTTACCTTCTTGCTGTAGATACAAGTTGATCCTTGGATAAGAAGCGCTGCTTCAGCAAAATTCATGGTGGTCTTCCCTTCATCAAAAGATATTTTGATCTTTTCGATCTAAAGCAAATGTTGTTTTGTACAGAGAAAATACAACCATTACTGTGCCGGACTAATATAAAGCGCTCATGAATAAACAACGTATTTAGTAATGCAACTTTGGAGAACAAGAGCCGCAATGGTAACCTTTAGCGCCATATTTTGCACAACATTGTAGAATTTTTCCCTGCCAAGATAGATTAAGGAATCAAAGGCGATTTTATTTCACTTATAAGCGTAAAGTTAACAGTTGATTTCAGAACGTTGGCTCACCTCAGCCAAGTATTCTTCCAGTTGAGCAGCGACATCTACGTCCCAATTCTTTGTCAGATCACGGATCGGCTGCAGTAAATGACTGTACCGGCTAGTTACGTCGCTTGAATCACTGCTTGCTTCTTGAGAAGGCATGATCACCGCGAAGATATTCAGCCAAAACTCAACCAAAACATGACTTCCAAAGCGCTCACGAAGAAAAAGAAATTTCCCGCCATTTTGCTAAGCTCCGAGTATGCGTCAGATGTGCAACCGCTGATAAGCTCCACAGTATGCAGACTCACGTCTATACCTCGGGGAACATAGACTTCACGGCTGAATGCCACCAAATGGGGCTTGTTGTGCGAAGCGTAGGTATAGGTGAGACAGAAGAGCGAGGTCGCCTAGGGAGGATAACAAGCCACCAGCATGTTTACAGATTCTCATGTCGTTTGTATTTAAGACCCAAAATTAAAGTTTTTTTGCCCACACTCTTTCCCATTGCTATTAGTTACAGAGTTATATGTCCCAACCTCTTAGAGAGGCTTTCCTTACAGAGCATAAGCTAACACGCAAGGGTTATCCGGTTTCCACCGTGCGTTTGCTTGGGAGCATCGTCTCATGATTGGGTTTCGCCTTACGGTACCTTTTCCGTACACAACTGCCTGTTACACAATTGACAGCCGCTTATGACAAAAGTTGTGGAAAACCTCTAACACATGTAGCATACCGTGGCGGTATGGCAACGAAAGAGAAAATTGAAAACAATAAAAGACTCAAATTAATGGAAATATCAGAATCATTTTAGAAAGCGTGGATGGGTAAGAAAGAGAAACCCAAAAAGGAAAGAAAATTTAAGGTAACAAGGGATGAGACATAGAAAGGAGACATCATACCGAGATGGAAAAGGAAAATACAGGTCATAACTAGTTTGCATCATTAACTGACGAAAAAGGGATTTTTAATTTTCCTTCAGAAAAAAAAATATTCCTGAGTAAATAAATAATAAATTATCAATTCCGGGTTGAATGAATAAATACAAAGGTAAAAGGAGTCCGACTGAATAGACAAGACCAACGGGCAAAGTTTCTTAATTAGACCGCGCAATCTGGCTATCATTCAATCACTGCAATTTCTTCGGCGGAAGGAAACGCCTCGCCGGTAAGCGTATGAGTGCCAAATCACTGCGATTTTTGCCAAAACGTCCTTGACGGAACGATTAGACGGCTGAATCTGAACTTACAGCCAGTCTAGCCATCTGCGGATTGTTCACTGCCGCTCCTTGCTTTACAGCGATGACAGGGATGCGGCCAGCTGATGAGCCTCTGACGACTGAACATTCATTCAATGCTTCTTTTGCGAGTTATGCTTTTTTCTGGAGGAGATAAGACAGTACAAGGTTTGGTTGCATTTAGTGAACCTAAAGAGAAAGTATTTGCAACGGTAAATGAAATGAAATAATCACAACAATAAGCCAATGAGAACTCAGTGTAAAAAAAGAAAACGACTCGGGGCTAGAACAGGAAGGACTGAGTCGCTGTTGGTTATGTTCTAATACCACATTAGTTTGCAAAATGGGAAGTGTTTTCTTTGCCAAATAAGACCATTATGAAGCAAAATCAATGCAAACCCAATTTAAATCAGCTTTTAACTGAGTGTCGAAAAACCTATACCAAAGTAATCCCAGCGACCAATGGGAACAAAGCTTTACGATGTCATTAGCCAATTGGAACTCAAGTTAACAAGCAAACTACTTGAAGCGCGGGAAAACGCGAATGACCACGTCCCGATTGTTTTTTTAATTTGGTATCTGATTGGTTAATAGGATGACGCGAATTTTCTAGACCAATCATAGAACAAAGTTAAACAAACCAATGCAATCGCGGATTACTTTCGACACTCAATTGAAAATTGCACTTTTTCCGACACAACTAAAAATTGACTAAGCTTGGATGAAACAATCAGTGTTACATTAAAAAAATCGCATCTCTGAATGCCTTTGTGTTGTTCTCAAAGAAGAACTGTCTATTCAGCTTACCTTAACGGAAGGCATTCTCGTCTTCCATAACATCAAACATCTTTGATAACTTTCTTGAGGCTTGCAAAACACAAAGCCACACCATGTCGTGATTTTCTCACATAACACCCTGCTCATCTCACGCAGTTTATCCATACAGCCAGTAACATTAATCCGCTTCCAACGAGAGACATTTTTGTTCGTCGATTCGTCCGCAATGTCTGTGTCTTCCTCCCTGTCAGAAGCTTTTGAGGTCGCCTCACTCTTATCGTGAACTCTAAATAAAGACAGCGTGCTAGAAAAGGGGAAAGGAAGCATGTAAGCTTGTGAAACGTCCGTTTAAAATTAATCTAAGACGGTCATAAAGAGCTTATCAATTCCTCCCTCTTGCCTCGTTTCTAAAAGAATGAAAAAGAGGCAACTTTCTCCGTTCCAATCTCATTTGTTCCTCACCAGAACTTTCTTCCAGTCCTCCTCCACCAAACTTTGAGCACCAGACACGTGACCACAATGAAGAGAAGAGTATTGATGAGGGTAGTGGGTGCAATTCGTCTATGAGCCTCCCTCAAGTTCCGTATCAGTGCATAAAGAAAGCCCCACGTGTTCTCTGGCTTAAAATTTGGCTGAAACAAAAATTTCATAAGTCATCGAATGCTTCGATGCGAGCTCAACTGTGTCTAAGTTTGAAATTTTAACATTTTTGAACGAAAATAAGCTGACTCCGTTATAGAACCTAACTGTCTCCTTTCGCTTTCATAGACACTATAACTGAGTTCAAATTAATTTTCCCTTCTATTTGGGAGACACTAAACTAGATAAAAAAAACTAATTTGAACACAGAGTTTCGACGCCTGGCATATATCGACCTTCAAGTTATCTTTTTAACCCTTTAAACCCTAAAAGTGACCAGCATCTATTTTCTCCCTACAATATCACTCCTGAATCACACATTAAGGTCATGAGAATAAAGGAAATGATCACTAGGGAAGGAATCTTTTGATTGGCAAACAAATTCTCCTTGTCAGCACCTCAGGAAATGTATAAAGAACAGTGTGGAGAATATGCATTCTGATGTTAGGGTGTAAAGGGTTACGAGAACTACTTTTCTCGTCTTGTTACGAGCTTGAAATGAAACAAAGTTCCCTTGAGGAACTGAACCTCAGGGCACCGGTGCTCAATCACTTAGCTTAAGAGTCTGTGGGGAACTGGGTCACCACAAAGTTCATTTTTAAAACACGTCTCAGCAATGTCGTAAAGAGAATACGAAAAAGATAAATTTCTCGGCTTAGCAGTGAAATACAGAAATAAGTTTTTTCGTCTTGCCTTGTTTCCTTCTCTCCGGCATGGTCTTGTGTATCAGTGTAATTAATAATGGTAATAGGACCGAGTGGAGTCTAATTCTGTCTGTAATCTTACGAGTGATAACCAAAGTCGGACGACCGCGAAGCGGGAGTCCGATTTGTTAATCACGAATATGATTACAGACAGAACTGGACGACAAGAAGTCCTGTTAATCAATTAATCATAACCATTTCAATTTCTGAAAAAAAAAATACACCTAGAACAGATATCTACAGTGTAGACAATGTCTTAAGTTAATAATTCCTCCATTTTGGAAATTCCCCAGTTTTTCTTTTGATAGGTGGTTTTTGCTATCGTTATTGTAATCAATTTTGTGATTGGTAGATTTTGCTGAGTGGGTTAAGTAAATTGGCTGCGTCAACTGTCCGATTACAGGTGTCCGATTACAGCCAACCGTCTGATTACACTGTCCGATTACAACTGTACAGAATGATTAGTGAAAAATGAAGCTGCGAATGCACCAATAACATTTCAGAAATCTGTTTAGGCTATGACTAAATTTTGCTTTTGATATGTTGACCCCCTCATATCTCCAACTATTTTTGCTGGAGCCTTAGGAATCGAAAGAACAGAACTGCACCAAATTTGTCACGAGCTTTATGACTCTTTACCCGGTAAATTCTCTTTTTCTCCAGCATATTCTCCAAAGTCGACAAAGAGCTGTTATTGACGACGAATGGTAAATATTCTCTGTTGAATTCCCGCGTCCACCAAGCCTTCTCGCCGCTGTTGAGAGAAAAATTCAGTAAGGGATTTGGTGCAATTTCAAATGAAGTGTCTTAAGTAATCCGGGATTGTTTGTTTTTGTTTTCTTCGCTCTGTGATTGGTCTGAAAAACTCACGCCATTCTCTCAACCAATTAGATGCAAAACTAAAACCAATTTCGACTTGGTCGCCCGCGCTTTAGGCGATTTGGTCGGTTGTACTTTGAGTTCCTATTGGCTCTAAGAAGTATCTTTCTTTTGTCTGATTGGTCGTTGTGATTTTTTCGGTTTTGGTTTTACGACACTCAATCGGAAAGCGCTCTATCTAAGCAGTTTTGCGATCCTCACTGAGGAAGTTCCATAATTAGTTCCATAATTTTATGTCACTGGACTGTTACCTTGGATGGAACAAAACTTGCCACAGACTTGATGTGTTTCGTGTGTAGTGATACAGATACAGTTGCGCTCGGATGAACCTTGGAGGAGACTCCTTGAAAGGATTTTGACCCATCAGCTGTAAAACGTCTGTTTGTCCTTTCATCAGCTTATGAATCAAGCTCAGAAACCATGGATTTTCAGAGTAGGATTCCAGAGCTGCGAACCACATTTGCCAGTCCAAGCGGGGCTGATGAGGTGCTGCAGTAATAAAATGATTTATGCAAAAGTCGTAGAGTTGAGTTGGTTCCACTTTTTCTTAAAACAACATATGTCACAACCCTGACTCATTTTCAAATTCTCGCCTTTACATATGATGTCACTGCGTAGCAGTTTTTCATTTTCCTTTTAACTTACTTTTCCCGCTTTTGCCCCATGCTCTCGAAGCTTCCCCACTGGGATAAAGAAAAAGGGAAAGGAATCCTAAGCAGGAAAGATTTACACCATAAAGTTCGCTGTGATTGAAGATAAGTGCAGATGCCACGAAAGTTGTTCTCTACTTACATTGGCAAAGGGAATTTATCAGCTGCAACTATAAATGAAAACTGTTAAAAGGAGGACTTGCTTAGGTAAATGCGGCTTAAAACGTGACATCCCCTTTAAGTTTAAGTGTGACCAGGCGATCATTTTCTCCTGGCAAGAAATCTAGCGATGCCTCGAATCAGGTTACAGACGGGTGCCAGTATTGCGACAATACTTTCTATTTGTATACTCACCAACAAAGGGCGGTGGCTGATATAAATTGCCAGGTTTGTATAAGAAGTTGTATTCCTGAAGAAAGGAAAGGCAGCCTGCAATAAGCTATCAAAATTATACCTAGTGACAGCAGAGAGCTAGCCGCTCGACAT